ACTGATAAACATGGACGATACTATACTGATTATTACTAGTAAGTATGCATATTATATTATCGTGCTTAAAAATAGCGATTCTTTTAAATATTCATGTACATGTAGTACTTACTGAAGATACCGTATAGCGGGAAATTTCGAAGATAACAAATTTCACGAATTTCGTGGATTTTTCATGATTCGCAAAATTAAATTCCTTGAAAATCAATTTAATACGGCACAAGATGGCAGATTAGTGGAAATTTGTGAAAATTAATTCTGCAAACTTCCGGATACAGGTCATTCACAAAATTAATTATCCTCGAAAAAAAACCACTATACAGTACAGTTTGGTGGTTGCAAAATTTAATTTTTAGTGGGATATGTGGTTATGTCCTTAATTGCCTGACCTTTTAGCTGTGTGTCTATCCCAGAGAGAGAGAGGAGTGGATGATACTAATGTACATGTAGTTATTCTCTAGATATTAGGGTACTAGGTGAATGTAGACATTGAGGGGGTGAGCATGAGCCATTGATTGACATTTTTTGACTGAGATTTTTAAAAATAAATTAATTCAGTTCCCAATTTTTTCCTAATTTTTTATAATCTTTTATTTTATTTTTTAATTTTTTCCATAATTTATTATTATTTTTATTTTTTAATTATAATTATTATTATTGACTAAAAACAAAGAAAACAGCGTTCAGAAATTTTTTATTTAATTTTTTATTAATTTTATTATTATTATTAATTTTTTTAATTTTTTATTATATTTCATTAAAAAGATTTATTTTTATTTATTTTAATTTTTTTAATTACTTTTCCAGAAAAACAATATAACAATAATAATATTAAGAGCAGAATAATCTTAAGTTGTAAAAATAGAATAAAATAAAGTTAAGTTAGATAGAATTAATTTAGAAAATAGTCATTCAGACCAAGGCCGTCTTCAAAACTCAAACCCCTCCATTTTGTTCTCGTCCCCCTTATACATAAGTTAGTTGATCGAATGAGAGCAAATGAGAGCTTAGTTCTTAACCAGTTCAAAGTCGTGCTGTATCTCCGGTCCCACTTCAGAGCGAGTCTGTCAGCCAAACGTTTCAAAAATATAGACATCTCAGGGCCAATCAGACCGTCCACAGTAGTGCACAAGGGAGAGAAGCTCACATGTCTTCGTTCACAGTGCTCACTATATTTGGCTTTTTTCTCTCTTTCAGCTGTTTTGAGAATCTGTTCAGGACTCCTGTCTAGATAAGAGGGGGCATCAGAGTCAATGACTCTTAATTTTTCATTTATTTTTATTTTTTATTTTTAAAATTATTTTTACTATTTATGATTTTTTAAAAGTTAATTTTAATTAAATTATTTTTTAATTTTTTGTCTTATTTTTATTTTTTAATTATAATTATTTTTATTAACTAAAAAAACACAAAGACACAGCATTCAGAAATTTTTTTATTTAATTTAAAAAAATTTTTTATTTCTATTTTTAATTTTATTTCATTAAAAAATATTTTAATTTATTTTAGTTTTTATTTTTTAATTCTCTATTTATTTGTATTTTTTATTTTTAAAATTAATTAAAATTTAAAAAATTAATTAAATTGTTTTATTTTTTTAATATTCTTATTTTTTACTTATTTAAATTTTTTTATTTTTAGTTATTTTTATTTACTTTTTAATTTTTTATTTCATTTTATTTTTAAATTATTTTATTTGTTTTTATTTATTTTAATTTTTAATTGTTTCATTTTTAATTTATTTTTATTTATTTAAAATTTTTTTATCATTTTACTTATTATTTTTTAATTTCTTAAATTGAATTTAATTAATTTGATTTATTTTATTTTATTAGATTTATTATAAATAAAAAAATTTTTTAATTACCGTATTATTTTTTGTATTAATTTTTATTTTTTAATTTATTTTTTAATTATTTATATCAAGAGTGGATAATTATTTAGGGAGAGTGTCTAACCTGCCTATATTCTGTGATACCACAGCGCGTATGTTTACATCCATTTTTTGCAAGTATACAGAGTTAATCTCAGTAATCT